AGAAGTAAAAAATTCTGTATGTCTGAATTCGACTAAAACGAAAATATATTTCAAACCTTAAATTTTCAATAGCCGTAAAAGATTATTTAATTAATAAAAACGTTATAAATGACTCAAATTATTCTTAAGTAACGTCAGAATGCTGCTTAATATCATATTCTGGCGCTAGGAAATTTTGGTGTATTTTCCGTTCTTGCGATCTTGAAAACTTATAACCCGTTTTCTCACCACCTGTATAAGTGCAACTTTATTCAAAATTTGCACTTTTAGCGCTTTTTCGTAAATTTTCTCTGAAACGACGAAACGATGTTTTTAAAAATTCCTTCACATAATCTTCATAACTTGTATAATAATAGGACATAAAAGGACTAGGAAGGACAGAAAAGGACAAGTAAGGACATAAAAGGACAAGTAAGGACAAGGAAGGACAGAAAAGGACATGTAAGGACATAAAAGGACATTATGTCTGAAACTTTCATTGAGATTGATTCACTGAAATATCTTAAAATTTCAAGACAGACCTATTCTACGAACCGGTCAAAAATCTGCGTTACAACATTCACTGTTTTGACGTTATGCTAATTTTTCCAACATAATGCGCACTATACATACCTCCATCACTAGTACATTTTAGTTTGAATTTATCGCATCTTTTGAATATAAAACATTGACAATATTCACACTAAAATGTATTAGTAATGGATATATGCCTTGTCTGCATTAATTTGGAAAAATTAGCACAACGGCAGAAAACAGTGACATAACAGGCCAGAGCCCCGATTTTAGTGCGCGCCGGAGGAGGCCTAATCTCCACAGCGACCACCGCAGATCGGTTTTTTTTTTTTTGACCGGTTCGTAGGATAGGTTTGTCTTGAAATTTCAAGGTGTTGCAGTGGATCAATCTTAATGAAAGTTTCACACATCATTATATACATTATAAAAATTATGTGAAGAGATTTAAAAACAATTCGTTCGAGTCGTTTCAGAGATATACAAAAAAGCGCTAAAAGTCCAAATTTAGAATGAAGTTGCACTTATATATACGGGTGGTGAGACAACGGGTTAGTTTTCAAGATTGCAAGAACGAAAATACACCAAAATTTCCTAGCAACAAAATACGATATAATTATAAAAAGCAGCATTCTGACGCTATATTTAAGAATAATTTGAGTCATTTATAACGTTTTTATTAAATAATCTATAACGGCTATTGAAAATTCAAGATTTGAAATATATTTTCGTTTTAGTCGAATTCAAACATACAGAACTTTTCACTTCTTACGGAGGTTATTTGCTAAACGCCAAACTTTAAGTTCCTAGTGTTGGATTTTCAGTAGCTGGTTTAGATTGCGCAAAGTTAGGCGTTTATCAATTTCAAAGTTTTTTGTTTATTGTTGTCATAAAAATATCGATTTTACTAAAACTTACATTTTGGCAATTTTCAATCTACAGTCAATTATTGGTGAAAATTTTATAGCAATCAGACAAGGATAAAATCACTTTTAAAGCGATTGATAAAGATCGGTATGGCCTCTGAAAAGCTATGCCGAAACACCTTTAGTTAATACTTAAATCTTTTATATCCAGGGACTTAACATGTACGCACGAGCAGAAAAGTTAGAGCGGCGAAGGCGCTGCAAACTCGGAGGCTTGGGTTATGCTCCCCTAGAAAATTTTTGCCATATTACGTCACTTAAGTATGGAATTATTTCTGTTGCTGAGGTGCAGACGTTCCTCCTGATGAAATGTCCCTAGCAACGAGGAGCAAGGAGAAACGGCTGTATTCGCAGGCTAGGATAATTGAAAATTACCGCTGACAGAGGCAAACCAGCATTTAATTATTAAAAACACATTTTTTTTTCCACTCTCGTCGCCAAACTAAGGGAAAACGTACACAAATGTCCTAGCTTGTTGCCGTCCATTTTCATGACCGGTGTCCATCCTCCATCTCCGCATCCAAAATTTCCAAAGTGACAGAGAACTGAAACTAGTTTGGAGTCAAGGAGGNAGGATAAAATCACTTTTAAAGCGATTGATAAAGATCGGTATGGCCTCTGAAAAGCTATGCCGAAACACCTTTAGTTAATACTTAAATCTTTTATATCCAGGGACTTAACATGTACGCACGAGCAGAAAAGTTAGAGCGGCGAAGGCGCTGCAAACTCGGAGGCTTGGGTTATGCTCCCCTAGAAAATTTTTGCCATATTACGTCACTTAAGTATGGAATTATTTCTGTTGCTGAGGTGCAGACGTTCCTCCTGATGAAATGTCCCTAGCAACGAGGAGCAAGGAGAAACGGCTGTATTCGCAGGCTAGGATAATTGAAAATTACCGCTGACAGAGGCAAACCAGCATTTAATTATTAAAAACACATTTTTTTTTCCACTCTCGTCGCCAAACTAAGGGAAAACGTACACAAATGTCCTAGCTTGTTGCCGTCCATTTTCATGACCGGTGTCCATCCTCCATCTCCGCATCCAAAATTTCCAAAGTGACAGAGAACTGAAACTAGTTTGGAGTCAAGGAGGAGAGTGACCAACTGACTCACGTTCAACCTGTACAAAATGAGATCTCATTAAATGTAATTCAGTACAGTCTCAGTCAAATCTAAATTTCTCAGGTTCCCCATTATGTTACTGGGAGTCACTATACGATTAATGTACTTTGGACCGATATAATTTCACCTCCAGCACAGGTTGATAATTATATATTTTTGCTTTATCTTACCCGCAAGCTGTGCTGCTCTTCCCCTAACTTTAATAAAGTTTATTTGAATAAAGTGTTCTGTAGGAAGTAAATTTGGACATCGAAGATGGCTAAACAGCGTAGCAGATGTTCAGAAGGAAGAAGAAAGGGGCGACCGAAGAACCACGAAAATAGTGCGCATGATGTTTTTCTCATCTGACGTCAAAGGACCTCTATTTTACCCGTGAGCTACCTAAGACTTGGATTGGTTGTTTTTGACAAGCACTCAGAACATGTTACACAGATATTCAGTAGTCTTTCATGTTTATTGATGCTCACGTAGTTTCTCCAACCCGTTTAATACGGACAACGGTGAATACGGAAAACGGACACTTTTCTGTGTTCCCAAGTCAGAAAATCTCATATATCGTCAGCCCCGCTTTATGGACACTGGTGACCACTGGCCTCCTCGCTTCACACTGTCTATTTCGTTGTCACGATCACGTACTAACTGCATACAATGAACCCTGTTCAAATAATTCTAGATCACTGTAGGTTAATAGGATTTTGTTACTAAAAAATAGAAACTGCAAAATAGCGCGTAAGTTTGATTTTGATAAGGCAGTCTTTCTTCCAATTGACCGTTGTATGGTCTGAGATCATTTTAAAATGCCTGTAACAAGCCACTCCACCCCTCGAGCGCCAAAAGGGATGGAATGGTATACGAAAGGAGAACCTTTTCTGTCAAAAATGGAATGTGGAAATGTAAGGACATGGACCTCGGGGCAGGGCTTCCCCGTAAAAATTTGTTGAGTACCACCCAGGGATAAAATGCCTGCAACAAGCCGCTCGAACCCTCAACCATTAGAGATGAATGGAATGGTATACGAAAGGAGTACCTTTTCTGCAAATAGTTAGCTGAGCTTCCCTGTATAAAACTTTATTGAGGACCTCCCGGGAAAGTTACGGATAATTATTATATGACAGTTTGTGATTTGGGACACAGAAAAGTGTTCGTTTTCCATATTAACCAGGTTTACATATGAGCAGTGAAATATCTGAACTTTTGGTAGCTACAAACGAACCATTCGTTTTATAGGGATGTTCGCATTAAGCGAAAGGGAGGGGTTCCACTGCATTTCATCGACAACTTTTTTTGCTGGAGGGCCTTCAGTGCAGGATGGTGGTGTTCACAGATTATGGTTTTTATTATCTTAACAGTACCAATCATTTGTTTCAAAAATTCAACAGTTTTTACGATTAAGGTCTCTAATAACCTTAAGTTTCCTGGTGAAGAACAAAGGCTGTAATAGAGTCCATCAGCCACGATACAAATTCCAACAATTAAGCGATATCGACATTCTCTGCAACACAAAATGTATTCGTTTTTGAGGCTTGAGTGATTTTTTGGATGTTTTTGTGGCTCATAAACACAGTACTGATGCACTCCGAATGATCTCCCGGACTTTAACTGATCTATCCTCATCAATTAAATTACTATGCATAGATTTACTCACTTTTCTGTGAGCTGATTATAATCGTCTTGGCATGAGGACTTGGCAACTGAAAAAAAGAAGTAGATAACGTAATAATTCAATCAGTAATAAAAAGAAACAAATAAACCTATTTTTTAGAGAAAATGCAAATTTTGAAAAACATGGCTGCCAAAACTCGGTTGCCAGGGTAACATCAATGTTGACGTACACGTCACTACGCCTTTAAAATGTTCCCAGATAAATTTTAGGTATTAAAAACCGCTAAGTTTGGTTGTCCTAACTTGAACGGGGGCCCCGGTCTGAATTACCTTCTTCACAAAATTCTCCATAAAACCCATCTTTGCAACGGCAGTCAAACGAGTGATACTTGTAGTTCGCTACACAGGTGCCTCCGTTCTGGCAAGGTGATGACATACATGGAGTCTGAAATAGTTTTTAAAAAGGTTGATGTCAAATGCTATATAATTAATTACAGTTAATTTTGTTTTGCGTAAAAGTGTTGATTGCAGATCTAGAAGTATAAAAAAAGGAGAAATGACATTCGACTGAATAACCCCGACTTGTTATCGTGCGGTAGTCACTTTTACGTCGATTCGTGTTCTCAGGTTATCAAAAATCGCATAGACTGGGATAACAAAAAATATCTTACTTTTTAAAGTAAGATATTAAAATAAACTCTATGCAAAGATTTTACCCCACCTTGATGGAAAAGTGATGAAAACTCTCGTTCCTTTTATATTCCTCAGGATTGCTGTACTTTTCTGAGGATAACAACTCACACCGCAACTTTCCATCTGCTCCTTTGTAAGCTGCCAGGTTGAAGGACAAACAGGAAGGATTGCCGAGGCATTCAAAGGTGCAGTCAAGGCTGTCATACACTGTGAATGTTCCAACTTGAGGAACGTTTAAATAATGGTACTCTTCCTTTATAAAGACATCTTGACGAAGGCTGTGATGATACATGGTGGTGAATTCTGAAGAATCATTAATCAAAGAAAGAATGGTTTTGAAATTTACCTTTTTAGAATGTCGTACATATAAGATATCTCTTAATTTAAGGAGTTTCTGACTTTAAGAATGGCTTTAAAAATTGAACGCGTTATTTGAACTGA